TTCTTTTACATTGGGCTATCCAGTTTTATCAGCAACATTTGTTGAGGATATTGTCTTTTCTGTAGTGTTATTAGCATCTTTGTCAAAAATCAAGTGACTGTATGGGTGTGGCTTGAATGTGGGTCCTCAGTTATCTCCCATTGATGATTGTGCCTAATTTTTATGGCAGTATCATGCTGTTTTATTACTTTAGCTCTGCAATATAACTTAAAATCAAATAAGGTGTTAGTTCAGACAGTTGGGGTTTTGTTTGTTTGCTGTTTTGTTTTGTTGGTTTTTGGTTGTTTGTTTGTTTTGCCACTGTTTAGGGTACTTTGGCTATCCTGGGTCTTTTGTGTTTTTGTATCAAGTTTAAGACTGTTTTTCCATTTCTGTGAAGAATTACATTGGAATTTTGATGGCAGGGTCTACAGTCTTGATGATGAAAGTGAGGAGCCTCACTGGATCTGAAAGAATAGATGAGGTGAAACCTAACTCCTACCTTCCTAAAGGTTTGCTAAAGAGGTAACACTGGAGAATCTTCATATATGAGATCTCCATAGCAGTGCAGTCTTGAATTGCACTAAAGCCCAAAATTGGGCTTCACATTGTATTTCAGTATTAAATTTATACTTTAGAATGGACAACATTGTATAGAAAACAAATTATTCCTTTAAAAAAGTCTGTATGTATAAGACAAATCTTGTGTGTTTTTTCTGCCTTCAAAATGATTTTACCTTTTTCTTTGTACTTGAGATGACAGTTCACTGTCACCCAGCAGGCCTTGAGCTCCCAGCTGTGCTTCAGCCTTCTGAGCAGCCAGAGCAGGACTGTACAAATATGCCACTATGCCAAGCTTCTAGCTTTTGTATGTTGGTATAATACATAATTGACTCTAATTTTTATTGTGGTAAAAGACACATAACATAAAGATAACCATTTTTTTAAGTGTACCACACAGGTATATTTTCATTTAGTAATGTCACTTGGTAAAATATTCTGTTGGGGACAGAAGTGGGAGGGAGTCTTAAATGAAAACAATGTAAAGCTGCTTACCTTAAAATGCTGCTGGGCTGAGAAACCCAGAAATCTAAGACAGGTTGGGCTTTAGAGGGGTAGAGCCCAGAGAGGGACAGAGGTAAGGGCTGAGCTGCAGAAGAATACTCATGGGGTTGCGTTGGACTTAATTGCACTTGTTAAAGTAGTGCTTCGGAAAGAAGGCACTGGAATTGATGCTCATTGCTGGCTACATTTTATTTATCGTGCAGCCTCAATAAGTATGTGTTAATTAAGTTAATGGAAGCCTAAGTCATAGTCAGAAGAGTAAAACCAAATTTTAACTTCACTTTAGAGATTATAATGTCTCAATAATGTCATGAATAGACTTTCAATGTACTGAGACACTGATAACACTTTGAGGGAGCCAAGTAGGAGCCAGCTCCTAGCAGCTCCAGACCCGGGATATTCTAGGATGCTGTGTAAAACTAATTGTCTCTAAATATGTGTATGAAGAGGATAGAGAGCAACGAGAAGCCACAACATCACTGGGGAGCAGAGCCTTCAGAGGAGAGACCCTTTCCCAGAAGTCCTTGGTGTCTGTCTCCTCCACCCTTACATCACACCAAATTCAACCCCAAAGGTGGTTATTGGGGTAGAATCATCCCTTGTGTAGTTGGTGTCCTGATAAAATGGGTGCAAAGCAGCTCCTTTGGCCCTCCCCTCCATGTGAGGACATAGATTCAGGCAACATCTGTGAAAAGGTAGCCTGTCCCCAGTCCCCAGACACCAAACTTGGGTTTTGCAGTTTTCCAAAACCATGAGAAAATGAACTTCTGTTTTGTAGGAGCTAAAAAGCTCATGGTTTTTTGTTAAAATGATACAAATAAATGGAAAAACTATGAATTGGTGGTAGAGCAAAGGTAGATTCTAGGCTCAAAGTTAAACTCAGGAGGCTGAAGATCCCCAAGGCATGTATGTATTGGTCAACCTCCCCCTCTATTTTCCTTTGGAAAAAAAACGTTTTCCTTTGTCTCCCCACACAGATGTTAAGGCTTATTTTAATTGTGTGTGTATGTCTGTCTGTCTGTCTGTGTGTATGTGCATGCACATGTGTGTGCACGCGTGCTTGCACACACACACAGACATGCACAAGCACATGCCTGGGTCTGTGTCCTTGCATTTGAGTGTGGGTGCCCTCAGAAGCCAGAAGCTTCAGATCCCATGGCAATGGACTTACAGGCAACTGGGAGCTTCCTAACTTGAGTGCTGGGAATCACAGGTTTGTGCAAGTTTTTATCCTCTGAGCCATACCTCCAGCTCTGTCTCCTCTTTTCATAGTACCCTGGAGTTTCCCACAAATGGTCTATATCAGCAGTTCTCAACCTGTGGGTTGTGACCCCTTTGAAGTCGCATATCAGGTATTTGCATTAAGATTCATAACAGTAGCAAAATTACAGTTACAAAGTCGCAACAAAAAATGATTTTATGGCTGGGAGTCATTACAACATGAGGAACTGTATTAAAGGGTCACAGCATTAGGAAAGTTGAGAAGCACTGCTCTAGACACTCTGAGGACAAGCCTTGGTTAGGTTAAACCAACCAGCAATTTTCTTCCCCAGCCCCCACAAAGGACTAGTTCTGGGATAAGTATATAAGCTAGTCACAAAAATTTTTAATGCAGACTTCTAAGAAAAAAAGATTATTGTATCCCTGTGACACTCATCCAGGAAGCACATACCCCATGGGTTCAGGCAACCATCCTAGAATCATGAGGGACAGCCTGGATATGAACAAAGGCAGTAAATAGAGAATGGGAAAATAAACTCAGATCCAAAACTTAAGCCACTTGAAGCCTACGTAATTGCGGGATTTACCAGTTCTTGCCTAATTCCTGTTTCTAATTAAGCCACTTGGGCATTGATTGCTTTCACTGGCCACTGAAAGACTGTCCAAGTGCAAGGGTAATATGAGGGGAAGAGGAAGGGGGAGGACACCTGGGATAATCTAGTTTTCTGGGTGGAGAGCTCAAGGAAGAGAAGTATGATCTGAAGGCTACACTGAAACAGAATGCAAGGGCTGGCAAGATGGCTCAGTGGGTAAAGGTGCTTGCTGTGAAAGCTCGGTGACCTGAACTGGATCCCCAGACCTACATAAAGGTGGAAGGAGAAAAAAGCAACTCTACAAAAGTAGTCCTGTGACCAACATGCATGCCAACACACACACACCCACACACACACACACACACACACACACAGGAATGATGAGTAACTTTTTTGAAGGGATGGGATGGAGAAGCAGAGCTGGCCCTGAGCTTCGCAGGAATTAAAAAGAAAAAGGGTGTACAGCAGAACGGTTCTGCCACAGCCTTCTCCTCAGGGAAGACGAAGGCCCTCAACTCCTGGGGAACTGGTGTAACCATCCACTGCATGATAACTAGGCCAGCAGTGGGAAGTCAGTCAGGACCTCCGAAAGGGTTGTTTCAGGTGGTCCCAAGAATTGAAAAGCTGTCAGAAGGCTATGAGAGACATTTTTTCAGTAGTGGAAATAAAAAGAAGATAAGGATGGAAACCTAGAGAAAAACAAAGACAAAATGACACTGTGGTTCACAATGCTGGAAGTTGCTAATGACCTGGAGCCAAATGGACTTCTGTTTCAAATCTCATGCACTACTGGGTATCCTTTTAACATAATATTATCATTAATTGTTTGATAATCTCATACACACATACAATGTATTTTGATCATATTTACTCCTCCCAGGTCCAATCTCGACCCCCACTCACCTTGATGTCCTCTTCTTTTCTCAGTTTTCCATAGTCCAATTTGCACTGTGTGTGTGTGTGTGTGTGTGTGTGTGTGCGCGCGCGCGTGTGTGTGTGTGTGTGTGTGTGTGTGCGCGCGCGCGTACTTGTACTCGCATGCACGCAGCAAATCCTGGATTAGGTAGGGGTAGCAGCAGGTCGTCCTACCAGGGACCACACTGCCAGGGAAAACTGGCTCTCCCTCCTCTACCAGCCATCAATTGTCAATAGCTCCTGAGCTAGAGGTGGGGTGAGCCCCTTCCAGAGCTTGTGCAGGAAACCATGGCTTCTGTGAGTTTGTACACAGTGGTCCTGCCATGACCAAGAATCACCACCTCTCTAAACCTCCCTTTCTCGTCCGTGAATGAGCATTGATATACCATCTGAGAATAGCTCTGAAGTTCCAAACCTGTGGTTGTCTTGCAACAGCAAGATGGATGAGCACGGGACAGGAAAGTATGGCAACAAAGCATGCCTAGAAGGAAGCATGCTGGGCTTTGTACTGAACTAGTACCTGGAGGCATGAATACAAAGATCACACTTCTTACACACTTTCTTAGTCACTGTACGTTGAACTGGGTCCACAATACTCAAATACTGTGAATGCTGGAAAGCGGATCACTTTCCACTGCTTTACTTCCCTCATCAGGAGAGGCTCGCAATGCCTAGAGAGGCTGGCAGATACAGCAAGGGTGGCAGCGGCTGTAAACAGTTGGATGTGACCATCTCTGGCGCTGTTGTTCAACCTTGAATCAATCCTTCGACACAGGAGACCGCTGGGGCAAAAAAATAAATAAATGTGAGAAACAAAGAGAGATCAGGTGGAAAGCCTTTGGGACTAAGGATAGGAGGTGGGACTCCGGGTTGGCGGTGGCACCTGGCGCCCGCTGTTAATAATAAGGTCGCGATGCGTTTATAGGTACTTGATTAAACAAAGGCGTTCTGTGATAAGAATGACAAGCAAGCAACTGCTCCACGTCTGAGTCGCTGGCCCCAATCTTCAACCTGGGCTATTTGCGCCTAGCATCGTGTGTCGATCTCACCTGATTCGGGACGCTGAACACAAGTGCTGCTGAGTCCTGGGCCACCCAGATTGGCAGGGGCGGACCCCTGAGTGCACGAGGCACCCCACGAGGGGGCGGAACCCAAGCCGTCCCGCCCGCACCGCCGCCTCGCAAGCCTCTGGCACCTGCAACCCAGAGGCCACCCGCAGTCGCAGCAGGTCCCGCGGCCCAGTCCGGTCGCCAGCTCTTGCTCTGATCATCGCCCGCCAGCCGCCGCGCTGCACGCTCGGAGCGCCCCCTCGGCCCCGCTGGGGACCGGGGACCCCGCAGTCGCCTTCATGCTACCGGTACTCTACACCGGCCTGGCAGGGCTGCTGCTGCTGCCTCTGCTGCTCACCTGCTGCTGCCCCTACCTCATCCAGGACTTACGGTACTTCCTGCGGGTGGCCAACCTGGCCCGGCAGGTGCGCAGCTACCGGCAGCGGCGGCCGGTGCGCACCATCCTGCGGGTCTTCCTGGAGCGAGTTCGCCAGACCCCGCACAAGCCCTTCTTGCTGTACCGCGATGAGACGCTCACCTATGCCCAGGTGGACCGGCGCAGCAACCAAGTAGCACGGGCGCTGCACGACCAACTGGGCCTGCGACAGGGGGACTGCGTGGCCCTCTTCATGGGCAATGAGCCGGCCTACGTGTGGATCTGGCTGGGACTGCTCAAACTGGGCTGCCCCATGGCGTGCCTCAACTACAACATCCGTGCCAAGTCTCTGTTACACTGCTTCCAGTGCTGCGGGGCGAAGGTCCTACTGGCCTCCCCAGGTGAGCGGCAGACTGCCGGCCCTAGCCCTGGGGGGGACTCTGGAGCCTTGGCTGCGGGGCTGCAGTGTCATGGGAGGCGGGGGAGGCAGGAAAAGAGGTTAATTCGAGATGTACGACGCTCATTAATAATCTTTAAAAATCACCAGAGGTGAAAGGTAAAGTGACCCATCTATGGAGGCACCGCGCTAAGCACTTCAGGGTTCCAGCGTGGAGTCCAGTGTGGAGTTCCAGTATGGAATCTTAACATACCTAGCACAAGGTTGAGTGCTATGCCACTCCTACCTAGGCTGTGTTGTTTGGAGACAAGAGGAAATGTGTGTCCGTGTTCCTCACGAGGCAGTTCCCCCACCCCAATATTTTCCCAGAGGATCACTGTATATGCACAATGTTTCTTTTAATCCTCACAACACATAGAGGTTATTGTGGGGCATGTAGATGAGCCCAGTGCAGCCTCAAGATTCAAAGTGTCATGCCCACGGTGTCAGGGAGACTTGGGGTTAACCAGAGGGATCCACCCAAACTCATTCCTCCATTCAGTACTTAAAACATTTTCATTAAAATGCAGAGGGTCTTGCAGGAGGAAGAACTGCGTGGATCCTGCCTCTACTCCTTGGTAGACTTTGGATCATGGGAAAGTTATTTCCCATCTGCATCCTTCGTTTCCTCTCTGTCTTGAAGCGGTCTTCAAGGCTGCTGCAAGGTCTTAAGTGCTGTTAACATGCCCAGCTCCTGATGCTCAGAGGGAAGGCTGGAGATCTGCCGCTGTGCATCTGTAAAATGGTGGCTCCTTCATTTGTGTGGCTGCCTTGAACCTAAATGAAAACGTCATGCCCAAGTGATACCCCGGCCTGAAAGAAACAGAACCTGCTATCTACCCACAGAGCTGATGAGTTATAGCTCCCAACAGTTAGTCTCTGTGCTGGTGCCAGCAGTTGCTTCTCCCAGTAAGGAGAGGCCTAATCAGGGCAGACTACAAAGACTTAGTGACAGACAACACAGAAGGTGAAGGGATCTAGAAGTCCCAGCCTTTGGGATGCCCATCTGCACCAAGCACTGCAATGGATGGTTTTAATGCTCTGGTGAATTAAAAACCAGGCTTCCACTGCATGACTGAGGACCTGAGGCAAAATTTCTAGCCCAAGTCTATCTTCAAAGCCTATGTTCTTTCTTATGCAGTGCCATCGTCTACACGGATATATGTGTTAGGCCTTCAAAGAGCCAAGAATCTGTCTATCTGCTCTGCCCTTCACTTCATAGCTCAGGAAACTGAGGCAGACTGAGCGGTTTGCCTAGTGCCCCCCAGAAGTCGAAATGTCCATTTACTTCTAAGGTACCGGGAAGTTTATGCGACATAAAGTATGTAATACGAAGTGTGGAGGCTGCATACAGAAGTTTCAAAAGCAGAGAGATGATGTTAAAGGCACCAAATTATGGGAGGGGCGTGAGCCTCTTAAGGTATGTCCCAACAGTCTGCAGGCTTCACTGCTTAGTAACTGGGAGGCAAGCCTGTTGTGTTGCCAGCTTTCTCAGAGCTACGGTGTCAGTGACCTGTGTCCACCTGGAATCACCTCAACATCTGCCACTCAGACTCACTGCTCCATTCAGGGGACCTCAAAGGGCTTAGTGGTTAACTGACCAAGACACTGGAGTTTAAACAACTACTTGAGTTTGGTTTTGTAAGAACGTCAGAAACAAAACTACTTACAGGTTGGCTATCCCTGATCTGAAATACTCTGACCCAGGAGTGTTCCAGATTTTGCATTTTTCCAGACTTTGGATATTTTCATATATATCTCATGGGTCACCTTAAGGATGGAGTCCAGGTCCAAAGAGTTTGCTTGTGTTTCCTGTACACCATAATTGCCTTAGCATGAAGGTAATGTTATACAAGATGCTTAATAATGCTGTGCAGGGAACAAAGCTACATGCTGCCATGTTATGGGATCATGGCCACACACTACTCAGGAAAATAGTTTTAGAGCAGTTCAATTTTCAAATTAGGGATACTAGGGCAGTACTTGCTGCCTCCTGCAGACAATAGCGGCCTGTCACAGGTTGCCATGTTTACATGGAGAATATACTAGAAGTCCTACATTCAAATCAGAATTGAACCTAACTTACCAGTGGACCTCAAACTCTTACTAGCATTAAGATGAGACACAGTTTAAAATGAAAAGGTCCTACTCTTTCTGTGTCCTTGAGATTTCTTTCTAAGTGGCACAGTTTTACGCTGACCTGGAATAGTTCTTGACAGAGAGGTAAAGAAAGCGAGTTCAAAGTTGCATGTTTGAAAGCTGTGCCATGTGGAAATGTGTAAACTAACCTTTGAGAAAGGCCACCTATTAGAAAAACATTTTCTTTCACCAAATAACAGAGATACCTTTGTACACTATACCCTCTGACCTGGAACAGTTTCTGCAGAGAGAGTACCAAAGTCCAAAGTCACTTACTGAGTAGATGTGCCCAAGTGGAAAAATGTCGATCAGACTGTTTTTCAGAATTGTTTGGAGAAGGCAAGACCTTAAAGATACTGCAATCCTTTCATTTTAATGTGTTCCTGCCCACAAAACATTAATAAAAGAAACTTGAGTAAGCACAAGAATCATCATTTTAAAAGGTAGATCCCAGGATCTCAGCCCCAAACTTCTGATTCAGTAGGACCCTGGTGGGACCGGACCAGCCCTACCTCAGCCCCAGATGATCTGAACATGAGCTTCTCTTGTTTTGTACCCAGGCAAGAGGAGGACATCGCTTGCCCAGGCTTGTGTGGATAGCCAGCAACAAAGAGCTGGGAGTACACCAGATTAGTCTTTCCAGGTCCAGGGCACTTGTTTATTCTATCAACAGCACCAAAGGGTGAATTTGGGTTTTTGTTTTAATGTTATATTAGCACATATAATATTAGCTTTAATTCTGACCTCCTCCTCTTCGATATCTCTCTGACATCCTTTCCACCCCACCCATAGCCTTCTTTCTGCTTTCACATCACTTGTTATTATTCCCCCACCTTCCTCTCTTTTTCCTCCTCTCATGATCTTTCTGTTTCAAACACACACACACACACACACACACACACACACACACGTGTGTGTGTGTGCTCGCGTGCACACCATAAGCTAGAATCCAAGTGTGAGAGAGAACGTGTCATTTTTCTCTTTCTGAGTCTGTTGTCTAACTTAATACTTTCCAGTTCTATTCATTCTGAAGATTTCATGATTTCAGTTTTCTTTACTGATGAATAAAATTCTATTGTTTATAGATAAGTTTTCATTATCTACTCATCCTGTGATGGACGTCTAGGCTTACTCTATTCCTTGCTATTTTGAATAATGTAGCAGTGAACGTGGACATTTAGGTACTCTGTGAGTGGATGCCCAGGAGGGTTACGTCTGGGTCATATAGTAGTTCTGTCAACTTCACACCGGTTTCCATAATGCCCTTACTGGCTTACATTCTGAGAAGCAGTGAATATGGGTTCTTCTTTCCCCACATTCTGTCAGGAAAGAACATGGTCTTTCCAAGACCCTCCCAGCAATTTCTGGTTATCTTGAAAGACACAACTTCTCTGCTCCATAACTGGGAGACTCTCTAAACCCTGTTATTTTCCCAGCTTTCAAAAAAGAAACATATTAACACAGTGACCTGTGTTAATGATTGGGAAGTTTCTTGAATGCAAGAGACGGTTTTTGGAGGGGATGTGAGGAAAGGGGGCAGCTCAAATATTCCTTTCATCTCTATTTGCTGTTGGCTTCTGGATGAAGGTCAGTGTGACTGGAATGAGACCAAATTTCAAAACAGAGATTTGCATTTCCCTGATGGATAGGTTGTTACACACTTTTTGGAATACTTATTGACCACTGTGTTTCTTCTTTTGAAACCCTCCTTGTTGATTGACAGGGTTTTGGAATGTCTCATTTTTTACAATTGTTTATCTATTCTAGATAGATTAGCCTCTTGTCTGAGGTATAGCTGGCAAGGATTGTCTCCTGTTCTGCAGGCTGTCTGTTCATTCTGCTGGTGCTTTCCTTTATGTACAGAAACTTTATTTCATACCATCCCTTTTGTAAATTCCTAAGATGACTTCTGACAGTTCAGAAAGTTCTTTCCTTTGTCTTGGCATTCATTCCTCATACAGCAGTTCTCCTCAAGAGTTTCGGTGTTTCGGGCTTTAAATTAAGGTGTTTGATCTACTTTGAATTGAGTTTTGTGTAAAATTAGAGATGTGCATCTAATTTCATTCTTCTACAGATGGCTATCCAGTTTTATTTTATTTTGTTGTTTGTTTGTTTTCAATACCATCTGTTGAATATATTATTTCCAACTTTTTTTATACCTTTGTTAAAAAATTAAGTGGCCATAACTGTGTGGGTTTATTGTTGAGTCCTCTGCTCCATTCTGTTGGTCTACATGTCTGTTTTTGTGCCAGGGCTATACCACGTTCATCACTATGGCACTGTAGTATAATTTGAGGTCAAGTATTGTGTGATCCCTCCAGCAGTGTTTTTTCTGCAAGTGATTTACTTTGACTATTTGTGGTCCTGGAGAGGTGAATTTAATTCTGTGTTTTAAATCTCAACTTTTAAGCTGATGGAAATTCTTGAACTCTTCATTTCAAAGAACAGGTACCTGGGCTGGAGAGATGAATCTGTGGTTAAGAGCACTGGACCTAGGTTCTACTTCCAGTACCCACATAGCAGTTTACAAGCACATGAAACCAGTCCCAGAGGAGCTGATGCAAAGACATGCATGTAAAAAAAAAACCATTCGTTCTCAAAATTAACCCAGCCAGCTTGACTTCTGGAGACTATTAAAGCTAAACAGGTTTAATTCTTTAAAAAAAAAGTATAATAATTAACTCCCAATTACTCTTTAGAAATTCTCTGTATATAAAGAAAATCAAGGCTCATGAACCCTTGTCTGAATTATTCCTCAGAGACTGTGGTTTTTCTCTATGTTGTGCATTCTAGGAGTCTTCTCTAGGCAGAACATAACCTTATTAA